TGACATCCATCATCCAATCACCTGCAAGCAAAAATGCTGTTTTTTTTAAATTTTCTTTACACCTGATTGGGTATTCTTTATAAAGTGAAGGTTTACCTCATTTACTGAGCTCTGGTGTAACTGCCATTGCAGAGTGCAACTGCACTTTTCAAAGTACACAGTCTACTTGCCTTTAGTAAATCAACCCCTCTGAAAGCAAGAATCATATCATGACCAACATAATCCGGTAAAGTGTTTCTTTTCGTTACTCTATGCAGCTCTCAAAGATCACTCTCTTGGTGATGCTCTTCTTCTCAGTCTGCCCAGACAGAACTATTTCTTCCCTCTGATGGTACCCTCCCTATATAATGGAACTTCTCGACAGTGTCTGCTCCATGGAGCTGGATTATTGTAGGCATTTCGGAGAAAAGATATAAGATCCTTAGAGAACTACAACAACGATTGATTACAGTAGTGTTCCTACAGGAAACCCATTTTCAGGGATTGCTCACTCGCCGACCCGCATCTATGTACTGGATCCCTGTCAGCAGCCGTGGTGCGAGTGCACATGCGCGGGAGTGTGCGGTTATGCGCATGCGCACTAGCATGCACATCACTGCAAGGTGGGCTATTTACATCACCAACATAGTTTAGCCTATGCCTTCTGGTCTACAACATCCTGTACTTCATAACCTGATTCTGTTGCCTGTATCTGATCTGATCCTGACTAAGAAAGAACTCCGCCTGCACCGACCCGGCTTATCCCTGACTATCTGCTTGCCTGCTCCCTTGTACCTTATCTGCCTGATTGATCCTGACCTGGGCTGTCTGACACTGCTGCACCTACGTTCCTATATCTGTACCTGGCCTGTATTCTGGTTTCCACCATACCTACCTCCTGCTGCACCTACATTTTTGCATCTGCACCTGGCCTGCATCCTGGTTACTGCCATACCTACCTGCTGCTGCACCTATGTTCCTGCATCCGCACCTGGCCTCTATCCTGGTTGCCGCCATACCTACCTGCTGCTGCACCTACGTTCCTGCATCCACACCTGGCCTGTATCCTGGTTACCACCATACCTACCTGCTGCTGCATCTACGTTCCTGCATCTGTACCTGGCCTGTATCCTGGTTTCCGCCATGCCTACCTGCTGCTGCACCCACGTTCCTGCATCCACACCTGGCCTGCATCCGGATCTTCTGGGTTATCACCTGCCTACAGTCATCTCAAGACCCACCAGGCACTCGTGCCACTCCTGGCTTGGCACCCTCTGTCCCCACTATCAGGGGCTCCGAGCGGGAGTAGTAAGAGGATGCCTCCTCTCCACTTCAGGCTCCCCAACCAGGTACGTGACACCCATCTATCGTGGGAAATGAATATATAACTTTACTCTAAGTGCTACCCAAAATGGTATTATGCAGATTCACCAATTAAACATGCTAAAGGTGTGGCAATCGGTGTAGCAAAGCATGTAAGATTTAAATTTGAAGATAATGTGGTGGATCCCGAAGGGCGATTTTTATTCTTGAAGGGGAGATTACAATAAATAGAGTGTACATTGGCAAATATTTATTGTCCGAATAGAAACCCATTGATTTACTTGAAAAGTGTCTTGAGGAGGTTAATGGATTTCAAAGTGGATGATTTGATTGTGACAGGAGACTTTAATTTTTGCATGAATCCCCAGATTGATACGACATCACATGGGCAGAGAGAGGAAGGCAGATGATTGAAATCTATGCAAAGAGTTTTTTATGTCAACTTTTGGATGTTTTGGAGGGTGAAACAACCCAGAGATAGAGACTATACGTTCTACTCTCCTGTACATGCGACGTACTCTAGATTAGATTACATACCGATAGAAAAAAGACTCATGGAGTCAGTGGTTAAAACAAATATTGAAGTTACAACTATATCCGATCATGCACCTGTCACAACTAAGTTACTCTGGGAAAGGGAGCAGAAAAAAAGAAACGTGGAAATTAAACGAGACACTCCTTCAGGATCATGAGACGGAATTAAAAATGAAAGTTGAGATTGAACAGTATTTTGAAATAAATAAGACTGAAGGAGTTTCGATGACTATGATATGGAAAGCACATAAAGCATTTATCAGGGTAATTTTGATAGCAATAGGAGCAAAGGAAAAGGAACGGAAAAAAATAATCAATACGCTTCTAAGGGAACCATATGAATTAGAACAGTTACATAAGAAGAGAATAACAAATGAGATACAGCAGAATATCATACATAGCAAGAGAGGACTATGTAACATAATTGAGGAAGAAACAAGGAGAACATTTCACATGATGGCAAGAGAGATATCAGTGGGGGAGTAGACCTGGAAAATTTCTAATAAGAGCTCTTAGAAATAAGAAATCAAGGAATTATATTGAGAAGATTAAAAGTGAGGATGGAGAACTGGTCTATTTTACCACTGACATCACTAATGTATTTAAAAAATATTATAGTAAATGATATGATGTTAAACCAAAACAATCAAAAGAGGGGGAAGACTTAAGAAATAGAGGCTACCGAGAGTGGAAGAGGAACGATTATTAGGTCTAGAGAAACCAATATCAGAAGAGGAAATTCAGGCGGCAATGAAGAGTACAGTGTCGGGGAAGAGCCCAGGACCAGATGGGTATACTATAAGGTATTATAAAAAAATTTAAAGAACTAGTCACTAAGTTGAGTCTATATATGAACGCTTTGAGAGAAGGGATAGAAATGAGGGAGGAATCATTACAAGCCTATATTACAATCATTCAGAAAGAGGGAAAGGACGGACCTCAATGTGCTAGCTATAGACCCATCTCTTTGTTAAATACAGATAACAAATGATATGCAAAAGTCTTAGCAAATATGTTGAAAGACCTAATGCCAGACTGGATTCACCTAGACCAGGTGGAGTTTGTCCCCAGGAGGGAAGAGATAATGGGTTGAGATCATTACTCCTCGTTCAAAAAAGTAATAAGGAAAAATCCCCCATCTTGATACTATCTGTAGATGCAGAGAAAACTTTTGACAGGGTAGATTGGGATTTTATGTTAGGAACGTTGAAAGTACTGGGAATTGGTCCCAAAATGAGAGAGTGGATAGGAAAGCTATATAACAGATCCTCTGCAGCAGTAAATGTGAACGGTTCATTTTCAGGGTTTTTTTAGGATGTATAATGGGACAAGACAAAGGTGCCCACTCTCGATGTTGCTGTTTGCCCTGTCTCTGGAATTTTTCTTAACAACGATAAGGAATAATAGAGATGTGAGGGGAATACGGATAGGGGAGACCAAACAAAGTGGCAGCGTATGCTGATGATATGCTATTTTATGTAGTCAATCCTAGGCTGATATTATGTAACTTGATGAAAGTAATAAAATATTGTGGTTAATATCAAATTTAAAAATCAATCCGGTGAAATCAGAGATTTTAAATGTTAGTGTTTCGACAACTGAAAAGGAAGCGTTGTATAGAGAATTCCCTTTTCAATGGAGGGAAAAAGAACTAAAGTATTTGGGAATAAAACTGACCCCCTCCTTAAGGAGCTTGTATAAAACAAATTATATCCCATTAATAAATGAAATTAAGGCGATTAGCAGGAGGACCGACATCTTGCATAGGACAAATACATTTGGTAAAAATGGTAATAGTCCCGAAAGTGTTATATAAATTTCATATGATACATATACAGCTTCCAGGAACCTATTTTAAGATAATTAAAACATTAATATTGAGGTTTATATGGAAGAATAAAAGACTGAGAATAAGTTACGAAGTACTGTGTAGAGATAAAGGGACTGGAGGATTAAACATGCAGGACCTTAGGACATACTACCACTCAGTATTATTGTCACGTATTTTGGATTGGACAGATAATGCACTAATGAAAAACTGGGTAAATATAAAAAACACGTTAAGTGGGACACACTTAAATAAGATGGTGTAGCTACCGCACCAGCACCATAAATTGGCAGAGAGCATGAGCACTTATACACGAAACGTAATTAGGGTTTGGGACATAATTCACAAACAAAAGGGGTGGGAGTTTAACTCTATACTGATGCCATTGGCAGCCTCAAATTTTTTCCCACCAGGGAAAGAAAATATCTCAGGCAAATGGATAAAAAAAGGGGATATACAATTAAAAGATATATTGAAAGGGGAAAAAATATGCTCCTTCCAAGAGCTGAAAAATAAGAAGGAACTGTTCTCTAGATTAGATGAGTGGCGGTACTTCCAATTAAGACACTTTGTTACAACACTCCCCAAGCCCCTTAGGACAATGGTGGACTTTAATCCATTTGAACAATTATTTAGTAGAAGTGAAGTACGAAAACAGGGTACTTCTGGAATTTAAAAAATTCTTACTGTAGAATTAGGAATTACTACCCCCCCCCCCCCCCCCCCCGTATTTGGTAAAATGGGAAAGGGATTTGGGAAGTGCACTAGATGAGCAGCAGAGAGAGAAGATATATAAATATAAATGTTTAGCTAGGTGGTATATCTCACCGAGTGTGGTGCATAAGCAACAAATCACCCTTGTGCTGGAGGGCATGTGGGAGAAATGGCACATATTCAGTGGGAGTGTCCTAGGCTACAGAAATATTAGGATGATATAGTACACCAAATAAGGGGATCACAGAGGTTAGTGTCCCAAAAGACCCAGGCACATGTTCATTCCATAAAACAGAGACTACGGTAGAAAAATATAAAAATACAGTGATATTCCATCTTATAAAAGCGGCAATTGGTCTCATACCTAAATTTTGGCAAAAACAAGAAGTACTGAAAATAAAGGACTGGATAAGTAGAGTAGACTATGTGTACAAGATGGAGGAACTCCGCCATATTATTATTATACAGGATTTATATAGCAATGAGGTAGACCAATGAGGATGGAGTTACTGTAGTTGAGGCGTGATATGACAAGGGAGTGAATAAGTTGCTTAGTGGTTTCTGTGGTTAGGAACGGTCGTATCTTGGAGATGTTGCAGAGGTGAAGTCTACATGATTTTGTCAGTGATTGGATCTGGGGCTGGAAGGACAGATTGGAGTCCAGGATTACACCTAGTACCCTGGCGTGAGGGGATGGACTGAGGATGATGTTAGCGATATTTATGGTGAAGTCAGTGGGGGTGGCGCGGACAGGGGGGGAGTACTAGGAGCTCAATTTTGGAAAGGTTGAGTTTGAGAAAGTGGAGTGATATCCAAGCCGATATGTCGCTTAGTAGGCTAGTGATGCGGGTGGAAACTGAAGGGGTAGGGTGAGGGGTAGACAGATTTGCGTGTCATTAGCATAGAGATGGTAATTGAAGACATGGGAGTTATCAAGTGACCAAGGGAGGAGGTGTAGATGGAGAAGAGAAGTGGTCCAAGGACAGAACCTTGGGGGACCCCTACAGAGAGAGGGAGTGAGGAGGAGGTGGCAGCATTATGGGTAACACTGAAGGAGCGCTGCAATAGATAGGAGAACCAGGAGAGAGTAGAGTCGCTGAGTCCAAAAGAGTGTAGTTTTTTGAGGAGGAGGGGATTGTCAACCATGTCAAAAGCCACGGAGAGGTTGAGTAGTAGGAGTATTGAATAGTGGCCGATGGTTTTTGCAGTTAGTAGGTCATTAGAGAGCTTTAGTAGGGCAGTTTCGGTGGAGTGTAGGGGGCGAAAGCCAGACTGTAGGGGGTCGAGAAGGTTGTTGTCAGTGAGGTGGGAGCTCAGACGATTGTAGACTAAGCGTTCTAGGAGTTTAGAGGTAAATGGCAGCAGGGAGATGGGTCTAAGGTTGTTCAGGTTGGTGAGGTCTAAGGAGGGCTTCTTAAGTATGGGAGTGATGTGTGCATGCTTTAGAGGGGAGGGGAATGCACCTGTAGAGAGGGAAAGATTGAAGATGTGAGTGAGGGCGCATAGGATGGAAGAGGAGGGTGACCGAAGGAGTTGTGAGGGAATGGGGTCAGGGGGCAGGTGGTGAGGTGGGCTTCTGAGAAGACCTTAAGGACTTTAAGGACCTCTTCAGTGGTAGCGAGGTCAAAGGAGGACAGTGTTGAGGGGGGGTATGGTGTGAGGAATGCTAAGTGGGGTGGGTGTCTGTGTAGTTGTGATGTCCCTACGAATTGCATCGATCTTGTTTTGGAAGTGGTGTGCAATCTCGTGGGCAGTAAGTGAGGTGCTGGGTGGCGGTGGGGGGGGAGAAAGTAGAGAGTTAAAGGTAGAGAAGAGCCGATGAGGACTTGAAGAGAAGGTATTGAGGGTGACAAAGTAAGCTTGTTTGGCAGCGTGAAGGGAGGAAGTGTATGTTAGGAAGGCAGATTTATAACGGGTGAACGCTTGGTGGGATTTGGTTTTACACCATAATCGCTCCAGCGCGTGACTGTGTCATTTGAGATTTCGGGTGTGGTCAGTTTGCCAAGGTTGTAGAGGTCGGGGCCTGATGCTTCGTGTTGTTAGGGGAGCAGCGAAGCGAGTCTAGAGCAGATAAAAGAGAGTAGTCATTGAAGGAATGCCACGGGACCTCCCTTTGGCAGCGCGTTTTTTGCATCTCTGTCAGAGGGAATCGTTTTGGATCTACACCTTGGATGTGTTATCCCCTGGTGGCCTAAATGAAGAGCTTGAAATAAGCTCCATTTTATAGACATTCTCTCCCTTCCAAATGGTGGTTATAAATACCAACACTATATCCTTATACAGCTGTTTGTACTTTTTCCAACTAATTTAGGCATATCCCTTCCTTGTCCCTCTCTCACTTAGCTATGATCCCTTTTAGTACATCACTAAGGGATAATAAGGAGATGCATAACATTTACATACAATTATAGCAAGCCCATTTATTAAAATGCGTTTTTAAAACTTTGATTTTATTTTGCTTTTATATTCATTTCTATTAATTTTTATTTATGGTACAGTAATCTACCTTTTTCATTACCTCATTGATTTATTGATTACACTGTTCAACAGGTAAAAAGTTTTGGGCATAAAATTAGCTAATCTTACATAATTTTGGGGTGCTGAAAACGAAAATGACCCTAAAAAATGTTGATTGGCTCTAGTTTCCATGATATATTCACCCATCTAATGACGTAAGCCATTCAAAATTATGATGCAACTTCAGCTGCATATTGCGCAATTGATACTGGTGACCAATAGAAAATTGCATGTATACTGAGATGATGCAATATTAGCCTTTAATTGCATCACTTCACTGCATAAAAGCTGCAGTATCTGTAGCTGATTGTATTTCGACAGCGTCTTTACATTTCGTTTTATGCTTATATAGGCTACTCAGTAATGCCTCGAACTTGTGTGAATAAAGCAGATAATTTCTGCTATATCTGCGGTGAAATAACTTTTATCTCACAAAAAAGGAGGATAACAGGAATGATTAAGAAAGCCTACAACTTGTATTTTGGCTGCAAGATAGACCAGGACAAGAGCTGGGCACCACATATATGCTGCAATTCTGTGGGACGGCACTGGAGCAATGGTTGAATGGAAAAAAGGCATCTATGCCTTTCGCTGTGCCAATGATTTGGAGAGAGCCAACAGATCATGTTAGCAATTGTTACTTTTGTATGGTGCCTCCAATTGTAAAAGGGCTAAATAAGAAGAAAAAGTTATCTGTGCACTATCCAAATATTCCATCGGCAATACGTCCAGTTCCTCATGGAGAGGGGCTACCAATTCCTAAAGCACCAGAATCCTTCGTGGTTGAGTCAAGTGAGGAAGAACCTGAAGCGTGTAGTCACGTGCAGTTGTAAGAGATAGTCCTTTCCTCGAATACAAGAGAAAAGCCAAGAGAAGCAAAACCGACACAAACTGAAGACAAAACTAGTGAGAATCCTAAGTATTAAAATGATTCAACTTAGCTTATGGCTATAATTTTTCTTGGTAATCCTATGCAATATATTATGCCATTTAGGCTTTGTTATGTAGTCAATATCACTTGCTTTATATTTGTGAAAAGACATCTATCTATATAATTATTGTGCATTATGTAGTCATTACGCCTATAGTAGAAAACTTTCCGTTTACAGAAAAACTAGAGCCAATTGACAAATTTCATTGTTATATTTGAACTCAGAATGTGAAATTCATTAAGAAATGGATCCTTTTGTTTCCAAAACTGGCAAAAAATAAAAATTTGTTGAACAGTGTTATTATTATTTATTTTCACCTCCATTGTTCCATTCTATTTATTTTTAGATTTACTTGTCATTTTCTATTTCCCTTCTATTGAATATGCCATTTTTTAGATATATATATTATTCTATGTATACATACACACTCGTATACTTTTTAACCCAAAAGCATTAGAGCTATTCTCTTGTGTGTTTTTATTTCTGTTTTTATAATTGTATTAATTCCTGTATGATGCAGGAAAACATGTAGGTTCTTAGGACCCAGGAATTACTTCCCTCCCTCCCATTTCCTCCACACTATAAAAATGTCAGGGTTCTACTGGGACTCAGGTCTGAAGAAGGAGCCTATTGAGCATGCTCCGAAATGCATTACCGCCCCTTTCACCTGCTACATCTGACTCTGCTCTAAAAGCTTCATTTTTGCTGCACAGGCACATCCTGGACTCTGCTTCCTGATCCTATAGACATAGTCTGCTGCTGGACGGCTGGATGTCCCACCTGGATCCAATTACCACACAATGAGTCTTTTTAACCATTTATCTTGTAAGTGCAAATTTTCCATTGTCTACTAATAAATTGTTAATACTGCACTTAGAGGCACCTTCCTCTCTTTTTCTTGTTGCTGCATTAGAGCCTTGCTTCCACTCTAAGAAGAGCTGCCTCAGTGTTACTGCATTCCATCCATCCCTGATATCCATCTGGCACCTTTATCTTACAGCTACAGAGGTTGGGCTCCAACAAGCGCGCCCTATATAATATACATTGTTAGAGGACGAGGAGACTGTGAAGGTGATGAGACTGTGATTAGAGAGGGGAAATGGGTGTTGTTTGAGAGGTTATAGGGAGTACAGTGGTGAGAGAAGACAAGGTCTAAGGTATTCCCGTCGGAGTGAGTTTAGGACTGTATACACTGTGCTAGTTCAAAAGAAGAGGTTATGTGGAAGAGTTGGGATGTAGCTAGGTTATTGGCGCTAATAGGGATGTTGAAGTCTCTGAGGATGATAGTGGGTAGCTCAGAGGAGAGAAAGTAGGATAGCCAGGCGGAGAAGTCATCGAGAAAACGCGACACGGGTCCAGGAGGCCTGTAGATCACTGCGATCTCTCAGAGAGATTGGAGAGAATAGCCGGATGCAGTGGGTCTCGAAAGAAGAGAAGGATAGAGAGGGAGCGTTAGGGAGGACTTGAAAGGTGCTCAGTGGTGACAGAAGTAGACCAACCCCGCCTCCTTTCCGACCACTTGGCCTGGGTGAGTGGGTCAAGATGAGGCCTCCGTAGGAGAGTGCTGCGGGGGAGACAGTATCTGCTGCTTGGAGTCAGGTTTCGTGAGGGCAAGAAGGTTAAGAGAGTGGGAGACAAAGAGGTAGATAGGGGTGAGTTTATTGCAGACCGAACGGGCGTTCCAGAGTGCACATGAAAACGAGAGGGTGATTTTGGAGAGCAAGGGGACAGATAATAGATTGAGGGGATTGCAGTAATAGAAGGGTGAGGAAGGGGCATGTGAGAGGGATGTATAACGGCGTGCATGCCTTCCAGTCCTGGTGTTAGGGTCAGCAGGAGAATGAAGTATCAGCAGGAGGTGATGAGAGCAGTAGAGGGGAGATGAGAGCAGTGAGGGAGAGATGTACAAGTTTTTGGGTGGAGCAGAGGGACGGAAAAGTGAGGTTTTGGGAACACAAGAAAGGACTATGAAAAGGAGGAGCAGAGGAGGCATTTTAGAGGTGTAGGGAGTGGGGATCGGGTATGGAGAGATGGTTTCCAGGGGCGTTTGATTGCAGATTGTCTAGCATGCAGTAGAGTTTCTTGTTGTAGTATCTTCCTACAGCTAGAGTATTTGTCCTTTGGGTCAAGCTGGGCATCGCGGGAGCGCAGGACAAGGTAAGTGAAGAAGAGATCCTGGAGCAGTGCTGCAGGGTATTCCCGAGTGTAGCTCGGGGTTACCGCTTGTGGTGCTGAAACTTTACCCTGAGCTATACTCAGGAATACCTCCAGGGGGGTTAAAGAGGAGCTGGGAGCTAAAAAGAAGAAAATATAGAGGAAGTTGGGGTTGGGAGTGGGAAGGGGGTAGGAGGTTGGGAATGGGAGAGGGGGAGAATTGTTCAAATGAAATCTTTTTTTTTGTATGTGAATATTATGATTATTTATTGATGTTAAGAAAAACATTGAAAATGAATATTTAAATAAAAAGAAAAAAAACAAGCACAGTTTATGTAGGATAAAATGGCAACACTGTATCATAACATCTGTGGTTACTGGCTTTTGCAAAGCAAAACAGTTCTGATTGTAAAAGAAAAAAGTAGCATAGTGTTAGGAATGGACTGGCCAGCAATGGTGGGACTCACCTGCCTTTTGATCTGCAGTACCAGGGCTGGCCAGCGGGTGCTCCCAGCAATCAGAGACTCAACCTTTCAGCCAGCTAACACCTGGAACTGATGATACTGGTGTATTTAAGGGATGGCCAGACTTGCAGACTCTGCCTTGGTGTTGTGTTTGTCCTGGGCCCTGTATCTGTCCTGCATCCTGTTTCTGTTCCTTTGCTGACTTCTCCTGCTCTGATCCTGGCTTGTGACCCTGACCATCCCTCTGTCTGACCCTCTGTACTACGCTGCTTGCTACCTGTTCTGATCCCTGGCTTGTGACCCGGACCATCCCTCTGCCTGACCCTCTGTACTATGCTGCTTGCTACCTGCTGAACCTGGCCTGTGACCCCGACCATTCTCCGCTTGCTCCCCCTGTACCTACCTGCCCAATTGATATTGACCCGGCCTGCCTGACGACGCTTGCTTGTATATACTGTTATCTGTGGGTGGTTTGGTTTGGTTTGTTGCACCGTATTATGTTTAGTATTGCACTGCATTTATGTTTGTACTGTTAGTGTTAATAAATTATATTGTTTATAACATATCTGAGGTCTGCGTTTCCCTGCTTCAGTCACACACCTCTGGTCATACCTGGGAGCCCTGACACATAGTTAATATCTCTGAAGAGGCTTCACCTGTTTCAAATGTTGCAGCCAGGAGATCATTGCAGAGGTTCAAGTTGGTGTCACGTGACACTAGGAGATGTTAAAAAAAGAACCTCAGTGGGCATGACACAGGGAGGTTTAATGCTGCACTGGCATGGATTACCCATCAGGTCTGGTAGCTCTGTATGGGATGTAAAGCTATTCCCTGTACCAAGATCTGTAAATAGTGGAGAGAATCATGTGACTGATCAGACTCCCCTCCCTTTTCGCAGATTGTGTCACAGGCAGTGCAATCAGTAAAATACACTTTTTCTCAATGGAGGAGAAGGCAAGACAAGACTTGCCTCCATTGGATCATCTTTAATGCAGCTGAGTCTGAAGACTTGAAGTGGTTGACCTCCACAGTGCCAAAGTTTCACAGCAGGAAGAGAACAGGGCAGTCCTGGAGTAAAGATTTCCACAGAAGCAGCCTGCACATTGTGGGACATATTTCATTACAGGTAAGTAATGTAACTAATGGTGTAGAGAAAATATGTTTTTAACTAAACTTTGGCTTTAATAAATTAGACAATGAAAATAGATGGATATTCAACAATAAAGCAGACAAGCAAATACATTGTTGACTTGCTTTGCTCTATGTTGACTACATCCTAATTATGTATGCTATCATTGAATATATGACAACATTTCTTCAAAAGACCTAATATATCCACGAAGCATAAAATACCAACCAGGATTAAAAAAAAAAAGATCGAAATGTTATTGCACAGCTAATGGCTGTGCAGCTCTCAGTATTTCAGTATTTAAATCATTTTGTATTCTGACATTCTTACATTTTATTTGAAAAAGAGAACATCTTAGATCAGCTGCTATATTTAACCTTTTGTTAAACAAACAATATTAACAGCGGTTTTAATTAATGTCTTTATAGTGCCTGTCATGTTCTATGTCTTGGAGCATGCAGAATTGTGCAGTAGATAACATGCAAATGTTGACACTGCATTTTAATTTATCAATGAAGTAATGGTTTTGGATCAGTAGAAGTAAACTCTACAGGGATGGGGCAAAAATTAGCAACGTGCAAGTTCAAATATAACTTATATCACATACTCTATGTTATAATACAATGAAAAAAGTCGAAAGAAAGAAAGGTCGAAAGAGAGGTCAAAAGAAAGAGGTCAAAAGAAAGAAAGGTTGAAAGGCCGAAAGAAAGAAAGGCCGAAAGAAAGAAAGGTCGAAAGAAAGAAAAAGGTTGAAAGGCCGAAAGAAAGAAAGGTTGAAAGAGAGGTCAAAAGAAAGGTCGAAAGAAAGAAAGGTCGAAAGAAAGAAAGGTTGAAAGGCCGAAAGAAAGAAAGGCCGAAAGAAAGGTTGAAAGAGAGGTCGAAAGAAAGAAAGATCGAAAGAAAAGTTGAAAGAAAGAGAAAGGTAATGTAGTGCTACTTCTAAGGAGCTGCTGGGTTTTAGGTCCATCTATTTCCCGTACAGCCAGGCAAAACACATTTTTGGCAAACACACATAGTCAATAATCCAGCCCATGGGCTTGTTTTTGTTGTTTTATTTAGGAAAAAACAACTTGGATAGGGAACAGGTTATGGGATGCCCAACTTGACTGGAAGAACAGATTATGCGTTATTAGCGTTTATGTCCAAAAAATAGATCCTGGACGTGGTATCGGTCCCTTTAAGGAACAGTAGCAAATATACTTTAAAGCAGTATTATACCCAATAGCAAAAAAAATTTTATATTGCAGTTTACCAATTCATAAATGTGATGGCTGTATTTGTTGTCTTGTTTAAGCTTTCTTTCTTCTATTTTCATTTGGTAATCCAGCCAACCGAATGTATCAGTTAATATGGAGGAGACAAACCCTTTAACATTGACAGGGATGATTGAAATTACCAGGTTTTATTTATCCATGTAAAACCTTTATCCCAAATGGGGAAAAAATGGTTTACTGTAACTGATTATAAAGTGTGAGCTGGAGTTTGGCTTTAATTCATTATTGTATTCAAGTCTGCTAATACATTTAACACTCCCGTCTCTCGCAGACTGGCAATGGTACTGTCTGTTGTGCCTCCTTTGTTCATTTATCTAGAGTTGTGTCTCTCTAATACAGATGAGTTACTTGCCAAATCGCCAGGTGAAAACAGAGGGGAAAAGTCAAAGAAATGAACACTAATGCAGCACCAAATCTAATAATTGGTACGCTGCAATATAATACATTTTGTGATTTGGGGTTTATTACAGCTTTAATGTCTAACAATTGTCACTTTGCATATATGACATTAAAGGGATTTTATACTGTATTTGCAAGTTTAGTTTTTTTTTGTTTATGTATTGAGCAGGGGCGGACTGATCATTCGAGCACTCGGGCACTGCCCGAGGGCCTGGGGTCAGTAGGGGGCCCCATGAAATGCCCCTGGTACCTTTTTTATAGGCTTTTTTGGATGTGCTATGAGTGTGGGCAAGGACACAGGGGTCCTATGATCCCCTATTGCCCGGGGGCCCCATGAGTTGTCAGTCCGCCCCTGGTATTGAGTAAAAGAACATAAGTAAATTTGCATAACTAAGTTATTCCAAGAAAACTACTGTAGACTAGATCTAATTATATAAAAGCACAAACTTTTAAAACATATTAGGATTTTTTTGGTAAGCTATTATTTTCAGAAGTAAAGTAAAATTTTTTATTTTTAGCACTCATGGGTAGCTGAGCACTGCCATAGGGGGACAGAGATTCCCCGCTGGCACCCAGAGATCGCCGAAGAACACTGACAGGGGAAAGGTCTGTATGTAAAAAATACAGATCTCTCCCCTGCCAGCTCCAGCATGCTGCTTTGTTTTGCTCTGCATAGCAGAGCAATAAAAAGGAGCATGCTTACATAGTAAATCACACACAGAACACATAGTAAAACAACACACAGCTAACTCTTTGATCGCTCCAGATGTTAACCCCTTCCTGCCCAGTGTCATTAGTACAGTGTCAGTTCTTTTTATTAGCACCGATCACTGTATAATGTCACTGGGGATGTCAGTGGCAGTTAGTCAGTTCCCACCCAGTGTCAGAATGTCAGCAGCAGTCCCGCTATAAGTCGCTGATCGCCGCCATTACTAGTATAAAAAGAAGTTTAAAAAAAATCCAGTATATATACCACCATTTGTAGACGCTATAACTTTCACATAAACCAATTAATTTACACGTATTGGGATATTTTATTTAGCAAAGACATGTCGCAGCATAATTTTGGCCAAAATTTATGACGAAATTTAATTTTTTAAAATTTTTTTACTGGATATGTTTTATAGCAAAAAGTCAAAAATATTTTTAGTTTTATTTTTTTCAAAATTGTCAGTATTTTTTTGTTTATTGCGCAAAAAAAAAAAAACGAACAGGCAATCAAATACCGTCGAAAGCTCTATTTGTGGGGAAAAAAGGACAAAAATGTAATTTGGGTGCAGCATTGCATGACCAGGCAATTGTCTATTAAAGTAATGCAGCGCCGTATCACAACAAATTGGGTCGGGAAGGGGATAAATCCTCTGGAGGGTAAGTGGTTGAAGGGCAATATGGAGAATACACAATATCAAAAAATGCTTACAGCGCTGTGTGCAACAATACTGCAATCAATAAATAAAATGTGTGGCAAAAAAATGTCTACAAAATCCTATATATACTATGCCATGTTATTCTATTGTTGCTGTGCTGCCATCGCAAGATGAAAGATCTTTAACCCCTCGCCTACAGGGCACTTATACCCCCTTCCTGCCCAGGCCACTTTCCAATTTTTGAGACAGATAGAGCTTTCTTTTGGTGGTATTTAATCACCTCTGGGATTTTTATTTTTTCTTAAACAAACCAAAAACCACTGAAAATTTTGAAGAAAAAAATTTTTTTCTTAGTTTTTGTTTCACAATTTTGTAAATAAGTGATTTTTCTCCTTCACTGATGTGCGCTAATGAGGCTGCAGTGATGGCCACTGATAGGCTGCACTGATGGACACTGATAGGTGGCACTGATGGGCATTGATGAGGAGGCACTGGTAGGTTGCACTGATGGGCATTGACAGGCATCACTGATGGTCACTAAAAGGCAGCACTGATACATGACACTGATATATGGCACTGATAGGCGGCACTGATAGGCAGCACTGACTTGCACTGATAGGCGGCACTGACTGGCACAGTTAGGCGGCACTGACTGGCACTGATAGGCCGCACTGATTGGCAGCACTGATAGGTGGCCCTGATTGGCATTGATAGGTGGCACTGACTGGCACTGATGGATGACATTGAAAGGCAGCTCAGATGGGCACTAATATGTGGCATTGATGTGCACTGGTATGCACTGATATGTGGCATTGATTTGGCACTGATGGGGGCACTGGCTGCTGGCACTGATGGACACTGACAGGTGGCACTTCTGGGGCCACATTGATCATCAGGGCACACTGATCATCAGTGCCCTGATGATCAGTGTACATGTCCCATCCGCGGAAAGCCGATTACCGGCTCTCCTGTCCTCTCGAGCTGTCAGCGTGACAGCTCGTGAGGAGAAAAATGCCGATAAGAGGCATTTCCGTGTTTACATGTGATCAGCTGTGATTGGACACAGCTAATCACATGACCGAGCCGACATCTGCGGCTCTTTCCGTGATCCGCTGTGTCCGAGGGACACAGCGGACCGGCGATCGCCGCACTGCGCGCTCCCTGAGCCGCGCATGCGTGGTGAGAATGGAAGGACGTCATATGACATCCTATCAGAACGAGAGAACCACCTTGCGCCTGTCATTGGACTATATGGCGGGCGGGAGGTGGTTAACTGGTTTTGTTTACAAAAGAAAAGCAGATGTCCAGAGATCTGTCATTTTGCAGCAGTACTGCTACCACAGTCCTCAGCCATCTGGGAATCCTCGATGACAAGCTAGGGACACTGGGCAACATAATTTACACATTTTTGCTGTGTACTCTCCCCTTCAAAAAGGGAAAAAATTTATCCACCATAACATTTGACGTTCTTTATACAGGCATGCAGCCTTGGTGGCCAGGAATGAGGGAACGGAGTACACTCCCCCTTTCTGAGCCACACAAGGCCCCTAGTGATAGGCCGAATACCCCCCTGTTCGGTTTGCGGTAGAACATTCAAACCTAACAAAAGTTCAACTGTGAACTTCGAACATATAGCTAGTTTTTTGGGACTCGAACTTGTAAATTCAAAAGTGCCCATTTTGAAGGCTTATATGCAAAGTTATTGGCCATAAAAGGGGGATGGGGACTTGGGTACTGCCCTGAGGGGCATGATTCAGTGAAAAAATGGCAGTCACAGCAGATTTGTTTTGCTTTTTAAAGTGCGTGGGGTTCCCCCTAAAAGCCATACCTAACCCTTTAGGTCTGCAAGGACTTTTAAGGGGAACCCCACCTCCCAAAAATGGGGGGAAAGTGTGCAGGTTTCCCCCTGAAAGCCATACCAGGCCCTTTATGCTTGGTAGGACTTTTAAGGGGAACCCTACCCTCAAAAAATGGGAGTAAAGTGTGGGGTTTCCCATAAATTCCTACCTGACCCTTGAAATGAGCACAGGTCTGGCAGGCCAGAGAAAGGAGGGGATGAGCGAGCGCCCCCCTTCCTGAACTATACCAGGCCACATGCCCTCAACATGGGGCTGCTTTGGGGTAGGGGGCCCCCCAAAGTACTTTGTCCACATGTTGATGGGGACAAGGGCCTCTTCCCCACAGCCCTGGGCTGTGGTTGTGGGGGTCTGTGGGGGGTTACTTATCGGAATCTGGAAGCCCCCTTTAAAATGGGGCCCCCAGATCTCAACCCCCCCTTGTGAATGAGTATGGGGTACAGTAAAATGTGAATGAAAACACAAAAAACAGTTTTTGACAAGTCCTTTATTGAAAAACAAAAGCCAAAAAAATGGTTCCATCATTGTAATCCATCGTCGGTCACGGCATCCAGTGGTGTCACGACAATGCCGACTCACCAAAATAAAAAAAAAGCCATCCCATCCGCACCAGGCGAGCACTCGGTGCTATCTGACATTTGCCGGTCAGATGTAAACAATTGGACGGAGCTAGAGGTGATGTCAGCGCTAGCTCCACCCAGTTGTACTTTGATTGGCCAAAGCATTGCACCTGACCTGTGGCCAATCACAATGCACTTTCAGAGTGCAGTGCATCGTTAGGCGCACCCATCGAACACCCTTACCATTCGCGTGTTCGCCTAACATTTGAAAGGCCGATGTTCGAATCGAACTTACGTTCAACACGAACATCAAGCCCATCACTAGAGGCCTCATGCCTTTCATGGTTTAGAGGATGTCTTACAAGAAAGGAGGGCAGTAAAACCTCCACTCTTGCTGAGTACCCTTGGCTAAATAATTAAAGACCCCCAAACCATGATAAAGTAGTTTATTGGAAATAGAAAAAAAAAACCGTAAATCAATTCCGACATCAATCATGTCATCCAGCAATGTAGCTCATCAGCATCAATCACAATAACCTGCTGCCTGACAATGTTACCTCACCACTGCAACACATTGAACACATCTAGACAATGCTATAGTTACATAGTTATTCTGGCTGAAAAAAGACAAAAGTCAATCCAGTTCAACCATTAAAAAAAAAACACAGTTGATCCAGAGGAAGGCAAAACAACCCAGCAAAGCAAGATCCAATGTAATCCTGCAGGGGAAAAAAAATCCTTCCTGATCCCCTGAGAGGCAGTTGGATATTCCCTGGATCAACTTTACCTACAAATGTTAGTATCCAGTTATATTCTGTGTATCTAGGAAAGAATCCAGGCCTTTTTTTACAGCAATCTACTGAGCTGGCCAGAACCAACTCTTGAGGGAGTCTATTCCACCAAGGATCCACTGCTAGTTTGTACATAAATACCAGCAGGCCAAGGATCTGACATTTTGGAACAGTAGTTTGGTTAGGCCCCTAATTATTATGAAAAGAGTGCATTGTTACAAAAGAAACCTGAAATCTTAAATTCAGATGGTTTTATTCAGTGTAATGTGAAAAGGACTTCCTAACAAATAAGGTGTTAAAGTAAATTTGTACTCTAATTATCCTTTAAAAGTAAAAGCTATAAGAGCACAAACACCACTATATACTTATTGTTACCTTTGCTGGCCATAAACCTCCTCTTTGCTCCTGTCGGATTTCATTTAACCATTAGCCGCCCGGCCAATGGCCATTTGGCGGCTTCAAAAGTGTTCCTGCATTCCGGGTGCACGCCATTTGGCGTGCTCCCGCACATGCGCAGTTTGCGCTAATGCAGAGCGGCGCGATCTGTCACCGGCCGTGTACCTCGGACACGGCCGATGACAGATCTGAGTACCGGCTCCCATTGCTGGTACCATGTGACCTGCTGTGACCAATCACAGCAGGTCACATGACAGTTGTATACAATTCATGCCATCCATTGTATACTAGTGCCTAGCTGTGAATGGTCACAGTTAATCACATGCACATGTCATGTGATTAGCTGTGACCAAATCACAGCTAAGCACAAAAAAAAAAGAAAGAAAAAAAAACCCTGAATGAATCGATGTCATTCAGGTAAATGCTTGCTTATAGCAAAGTAATTCTTTGCTATAAGCAAATTGTGTAAAAAAAAAAAAAATAAAATACTGATCACTTCCCCAAAGTAGTACCATGTTACTATGGTAACATTGTACTACTTTGGTCATAGTAAAATATGAAAAAAAATCTTAAAAATTAAAAATATAATAAAAAAATAAAAAAATATATATATATATTTTTTTTTCATACTGTCACCAGTCAGTGTCCCTGTTCACCGCCATGCCAGTTATATGATGATGCTGTACTGCACTGGTGACAGTATGTAAAAAAAAATAGTGAAAATAATTGTTTTAATTTTTTCATTTTCCGAAAAATTAAGACAAAAAAAATACAACTTAAAAAAACTCGCCATTCCTCTTATGAAGTACGTCGGACTGTCTACTCTGCAAAAAGGGGTCATTTGGGGATATCTGTACTGTTCTGACATTCTTGGACCTCAAGAAATTAGATTGGCTGTCAGTACATCAGGATTGATCAATATTCAGATCTATACCATAGTTTGTGAACTCTATAACTTTCCTACAAACTAAAATAATACATCCTAATTTGGGTTATTTTCACCAAAGACATGTAGCAGAATACATCTCGGCCTAAATTTATGAAGAACAATTATTTATTTGTAAACTTTTATAACAGAAACAAAGAAAAATGTGTATTTTTTTCAAAATGTTTGGTCATTTTTTGTTAATTTAGCAAAAAATAAAAACCCCAGCGGTGATTAAATACCACCAAAAGAAAGCTCTAGTTGTGTGAAGAAAATGATAACATTTTAGTTTGGGTACAATGTTGTATGACCGCGCAATTGTCATTCAAAGTGTGAGAGCGCTGAAACCTGAAAACTGGCCTGGGCAGGAAGGGGTAAAATTGCCCGATATTGAAATGGTTAATCTCCTTGCTGGGCCTTGACTTCAAAGTTAAGTCTTGCAAGCTACCAATCCACTGTCCAATTAGACTATTGCAGGAGCCAGAAAGGGCACTCAGGGAATAAATTTACTTTTAAAATGTGAGTACAACCTCCTATTAAACCTTTTCTTCATATTCATGGAGCATATATATTATGATCTTTGGGAAGTTAACTCAATAGTATTTAGTTTTCAATGAGCTCACACCAACCAGGAGTATCTTTAGGGCTTGATGGCCCACTTTTATTTAAAATGAAACAAGAGATAAAACATAACAGTAGGTTGCCCTCGCAGGGGTTTCCACCATCACTTGTAACATGAAAATAAGCGACATTCAGCCTCCTGGCTCTATCTTGCAGCATCATTGCTCAGGCCTTAAGCCTAAGCCTTTGGCACAGTCACTTAAACTGCCTTACAGCAGACCTGTACTTACACACAACCTGTGCTTTTTGACAGCTATGTGCTGCACTGGCCCTCAGGCTTAGAGCCTGTACCTGTTCCCTCACAGTTTTCTGTTGAACAATGCAGACATGTACAGCTCTGTGTGTAATACTTACAACTTACAGTGTGGTTTTGTTTTTGCACTGATCACTGTATTGGTGCCACTGGGGATGTCAGTGACCCCAAGTCAGTACCCCCCAATGTCAGAATGTCCGCCGCAGTCCCGCCATAAGTCGCTGATCGCCGCCATTATTAGTATAAAATAAAAACTAAAAATCCCAGTATCTTTCCCGCCATTTGTAAACGCTATAACTTTCACGTAAACCAATTAATTTACACGTATTGGGTTTTTTTTTTAGCAAAGACATGTCTCAGAATGTATTTTGGCAGAAATTTATGACTAAATTTGATTTTTAAATTTTTTTTTACTGGACATGTTTTATAGCAAAAAGTCCAAAATATTGTTTTTTTTTTTCCTCAAAATTGTCAGCCTTTTTTTTTATAGCGCAAAAAAAAAAAAACGCACAGGCGATCAAATACCACCGGAAGAAAGCTCAATTTGTGGGAAAAAAAAGGATGTAAATTTCATTTATGTACCGTATTGCATGACCGCGCAATTGTCCGTTAAACTAGCGCAGCG